ACTCTGGTCTAGCTTAGTCTCCTTGGTGTCTCTTTTCTCTAAGTCTGGAACTGTTTTCTCCTTTATTGTGTCTACATGTTCAAAGCTTCAAAATTTAACATTCAGTTAGGAATTCATATTCCTAACATATATTCCTATATGTATATATGCAATGACAATTAATAAAGAGGCCATGAGCCTGAAAGAGATCAAGGATGGGGGTATATGGGAGAATTTGAAAGGGAGAGGGACATGATATAAGTTAATAAAAATAGAAAAAATAATTTAAACTTTGAAAATTCCCTCAGGGCGTTGTCATGCCCCACTGTGACCACAACTATCGATGTTCTTGTTTCTGGGCATCCTATCAAATAGTTTGCTCCCTGTTGAAACTTCCCAGAGAGAAAGGGAACTGTCTAGTTTTTGCTTCTGAGCATGCTGGGTTATGAGTTAACCCAAGGGGCAGGGTTACACAGGGCAGAGTGTAACCAAAGCTGCCCCTTCGGGTTTCCCCTAACAGGGCTCTGGCAATGACAGAAAATGAGAATAACTTGCTTACTATGCAAGGATGCATATAAATTTAATACTATGCCTCAAATTCACTGGTCGAGCTTGCTAGAAAAGATGGGAGAAAAAGAAAAGAATCCATGACTAATAGCATTAGAGTTAAGGGAGCTAGGGCTGGGGTTGTAGCTTGCTGATGGAATACTTGTCTAGCATGAGGCCCTAGTTCAATCTCCAGTACTGCCTCCACCCCCGCCCCCAAAAGTTAAGAGACTCTCTTGTTAGCAGGGCTTGCTCTTGCATGGGTAGGCAGGAGGACAATATGGCCACAGAAGTCAGCAAGCAGCAGGCTTTGTGCTGGTTTCATAGAAGCCATTCAGGCAGGAAACAGATGATGGGTATTCCAAGAACCTGAGNGGTGTGTGTTACTGTTTCTTGCATGAGTGAGTACCTATTCTTAGAGAACACTGGGTATTTTAATGTACAGCAGGAACTATAACTCTACAGGAACCAGTGTCAGGAGAAATCATATACATCAGTGCAAAATTGTCCCATATTTCAGATAGCTGCATTTGCCTTAGGGATTCTTTATATTTGTTAAAAACAATTACAATAATAGCCTAAGGGAAACCAATCACATTCACATGTTTTTCCTTAATTTCAATAAAAAAGAACTTGTAATAAAAGTGTGTGGTGCACACACAGTACAACTAGGAATGGGATGACGTATTTCAGTGCTAATTGGTACCTGAGCAATGATCTGTGATCACCAACATAAAGTATGTTCACTGTGCATACATTCTGTCTTTTGTCAGCATCAAGATTTGTGCTTTGTAAACCTTGAAGTATTTGAGGTTGTACAAAAGGCACATTAGTTAAGGTTACTAGCTGCTTTTCCAAAGGACCCGAGTTCAATTCCTAGCATAAATGACTGTTCAGAAAGTCCTGAGGGTTCCAACACCCTTTTCTGGAATTTAAGTATTCCAGGCTCACATGTGATACACAGATGTACATAATTTCATACACATGAAATAAAAGTAAACGGAATACATTTCAACTTTCCAATTCTTACTATTAAAGAATAAATAAATAAAATAGAGCATTCATTAGAAAAACCATTAGATTCACATTGTAATTAGACTTAGATTGCAATAACTAAGCAAACTGTCAATTTGCTTCTCTAATATGTTATATATAATATATACTATAGGGCAGAGCAATTAGAGCTAGGCAGATTCTTCCACTAATGTCAGTGGGGAACTGAAGGGATAAATAAGAGAGAGAGAACATTCTAGGGACAGTATTGCCATCAACAGAGAGAATCAGGATCAGTAGACCAATAGCGGTAGAGATAGCTTGAGACTGCCTCCCCCACGACAAGCTTCTGCACCTGATCAGTATGGGTAAGTCAGCAGTGCAGGACATCCTTGGCCACAGCCAAGAGGTGGGAAGACACTGGGTGAGCACGTGCAGAAATATTTGTGAATGACTCCCACTGACCTTGACATGATATTTAGCAGGGACACTTGGAGCACAGTGAGGGACCTTGGTCAGTGAAACCAAAATGTTCTTGACTGTTGGATGCCTTTGAGTCTGAAATTATCTGCACAGAGAGTGGGTCATAAGGAAACCCAAGAGTCAAGTTACACTCTACCTGGGGAAGCCAGCTGGCCAGGAGACCCAACCACTCCAGGGAGCCAGGAAGACAAGAAGCATAAGGCCTTCTAGAGCTGTCTCCCTTCTGTGTCAAAGAGCAACACTGTGTGAGTCTCTCACACTGACTTTGTAGATGTCTGAACTACTTCCATTGCTTCTAGTCCTGTGTCGAAGTTGTTTAGGTGCTCGTCCCTGCTGCTGTGGCTATCTTATCCAGAGTCAAGAGCAGAAGTTTGGCTAATTAGATAATTGAATCATAGAGAGGACTTCTTATTGGCAAATTTGTGTTCTATGAAATGGGCATCAACTGTTGAATGATATTCACGGCAAATACACTGGCTACACCTCTTCTCAGATGGCCTTTACCCTTGTGTAAGATAGGTGTAAGACTCGGGCCAGTCCTTAGTCAGAACATCAGACTTGTGGCTCTAAATGTGTCTCACATTCAGCCATAATCCAGACAATTCTGGTTGTGATGTTGACATCTGATCTTAAGACTGTTCTTCTGTATCTGTAAAGAAAACCTTTGTTTAAAGAATGACCAGTGCTAGCCAGCCAGGTGTGATGGCATAGGCTATTGGTCCCAGCATTGGAGACAGAGGCAGGAGGATCACTGTGAGTTTGAGGGTGGCCTGATCTTCATATCAAGTTCTAGGACAACCAGGACTGCATAGAGAAACCGGCTTCAAACAGTAACAACAACAAAAAGCACCTAAAAGATTAAAGAGCAGGAATGTTGCTCACCTTCCAGAACCAGACGAATAATGCTTTCCATCTCCCCACTGATAACAAACATTCATTTGGGTTAAGACCTGTCTTAGTTAGGACTTCTATTGCTATGAAGAGACACTATGCCCACGGCAACTCTTACAAAGGAAAAATGTAACTAGGGCTGGCTTATACTTTCAGAGCTTCAGTCCATTATCGTTCTGATGGGAAGCAAAGCAGTGTGCACGCAGACATGGTGCTGGAGGAGGAGCTGAGAGTTCTACATCGTTGACCCACAGCCAACAGGAAGTGGTCTGAGACACTGGGTGTGACTTGAGCATATTTGAGACCTCAAAGTCCACCCCATAGTGACACTCTTCCTCCAAAAAGGCCATGCCTCCTAATAGTGCCACTCCCAGTGAGCTTATGGGTCCATTTACATTCAAACAACCACAAGACATTCATAATAAACACACATTTGAGTTAAGACCATATGTTGCTTACTTTACTCATTGTGATAACGAAATTCCTGAGAGAAGTAATGACCTTTAACTTTGATACCCAGTTTGAGGGGTAGGCCATCACAGCAGGGGTGTAGCTGTGAGAACAGTTCTAGTGAGGGCGCCAGCGCATGAGGCAGCATCTCATGCTCTGCCTTCAGTCAGGAATGAGAAAGAGATGGATTCCAGTGCTCAGCTAGCTTTCTCCCCCTTTCCTTTTCTTTTAGTCTGGGATGCCCCTTGAAAGGAAACCGTTCCTTGTCAGTTAAACCTCTGGAAACGCCCACTTGGATACACCAAGTGGCATGTTACTAGGGGAGTCTACATCCAGTCAGAATGACAATGAAGACAACCCCAGGCCTGCCGTCACTACAGGATAGAAGGTGTCACGGGGAGATCATCTCCTAGCTTATCTCGGCCAGGAGTAGATGACACTAGGGATGTAGGGATGGATGTTCTCTGGAGACTGGTGACACTCCTTCACTTGTGCATACGGCAAATATTTTGAGTGTGATACCTCACTTCATGCACACTTGCTAACTGTGCCCAAGGCTGGCATGGTCTCCCTCCAAAAGTCTGCAGTCCAAGAGCCTTGTGACAAAGCAAATAATAGCAACCTGAGTCGAGTATTGTGGCAGGAGAAATACAAAGAAGTGGGACCAGGGCCAGAGTCCTTGTTTGGTTGGGAAAATTTAAAGGGCTGGAATTTATCACACAGGCCAAATGCTTGAAGGTAACTGTGTCCCATGGCCCTATTACACAATTCATAGTTCAAGGACATCTTTTCTATCCCTTGGTCATCCTGCTCACATCAGTTTGGGACCATGTGGACACCTGGTCCTCTGCTATTTTTAACCCAGAGGGCAATGAGGTTTAAAACCACATAATGCAGTTGGCAGATTTCATCCCCAGAGACCAAAGCGTGAAGAGGTTCCATGCCTTGCCCAAGGGCATTTATTGAGTCAACAGTTGAAACAGGAACAGAACCCAGTCACCAGACTCTGGGGCCAGGTGACTCCTCTGCCCAGCAATGTCTCCTAAGGGGGAAATAATCTCCTGAAGTATCAAATGGCTCGAGTCTTTTGATGAGTGTGCAAATCGAGGAGTAAGTGAGAAGAGTGAGTGTTGAATTACCCTTGACATAATCGCTCCAGAAGATGCAGCAACTGACAACACGGAGAATGTGATTTAGGTTATAATAAAAGCAAACATGTTTTTAAAATCCCCTCGGAGAACCAGTAAACAGGAGGGCTGACTGTGAGCAGCAACCTAGCGGAGAGCAGAGGAAGAGAAAGTGTGGAATACTTAGCGTTCTCAGACAGGTGAAATCACTGTCCCTGATTCATACTGTTTCTATTTTATTGTCTTCTGTCACCAGTTGCGTGTGGGGGGGGTATGGGATAGGGATTTTTTTTTCTTTTTTTGCAAAGGAGAATTTTAATTTTTATTGTGTAGTACTATGAATATGATATGCACATAATGAAATTTTTTATTGTGATGGTATGTCATGTAAATTATATACAACAGAAACATTCTTTTTTATTTATTTTTTTATTGAGCTATATATTTTTCTCTTCCCCTCCCTCTCTACCCCCTCCCCTTCCACCCTCTTCCATGATTCCTCAAGCTAACAATTTACTCAGGAGATCTTGTCTTCTTCTGCTTCCCATGGAGACTAGAGGGATAGGGATGTTTTCATTGGGTTGTTGTTGTTATTATTGTGAGGGATGGGCTGGAGGTTGACCCCCAGGGGGTCTCAAACATGCTAAGCTAGGGCTTTCCCATCGAACCACATCCCCATTCTGAACAGTATGACTTAAGCCCAGATCGATAAGACAGTCCACTTGGGACTTTAGTAAGCTGCCTGATATCACATGCTGGATGAAATCATGGCTGCCTGGAATCCTGCTGAGACAACAGAAGGCGATAGCTCTTATTCAAAAGAGGATCTGAGACTCTCTCTACTACATAGCCAAGAACACCTGCCTGTGTGCTGGGAGTCTACCCACCCCTTGCTTAGTCTGGATTTGAATATACCTTAAAGTCCCATGTGCAACGACATTGTGAGGTCAGGTGTGACCTAACAGAAATTCTTAGCTCACTGGAGCTATGCCCCCAGGAGGCTGGTGACTCCCTTCCTCCTCTCTTTTACCACTTGCCATGGTGTAAGAAGTTTGTTCATACGGGCTCTCCGGCTATGCCTCCAGCAAAATCACCGAAGGCTTGCCAGAAATGGATCTTCTTCATTATGGAGTAGAGCCTTTAAAACCACAAGCTGGAACAACTTTATAAGATGATTTTCTCCTGCATTTGGTTACAGTGAAAGGAGGCTTGTGTACCCCTCTCACCGACGTCCGTGGGAATCATAGAGGAGTAGGTTGGTAAATGTTACACTGGGGTTCCCGGGATGAATGACATTGCCTGTAGAAGTCCATACTTATTTCTCTCAGATGGAATTTCTATGACTTTCTTAAATGACTGTGACTTCCTTAGCAGAACACCTTGGACTGAGCTTCTACAGTGATGCCTTAATAAACAAAAGATGAGATGATTTTTTTGATGGTTTCCTTTGTCAGTTTGACCGGGGCGCAGCATACCCAGATAGATGGAAAGATACTGTTTCTGGGCTTGCTCCAGGTTTTGGATGGTAGTCCATCTTCTGGAGAACACAGACAAACACACACAGTTCCTTTAATGTCTTTCCTCTGAAAAGAGAAAGGGATGCTGGAGAGGGAAAGAGTATTCTTTGGTCACGTGATCCACTTGTAGACTGTGTGCTAAAACCTTCCTACAGTCTTGATTTTATGAGTGTACAAGTCATAGTATCAATATCACAGACCTGAGGACATCCAGGTCCCTGGTAACGTGCGACTAGAAAGCTTGGGCCTTGGTGTGCTCGGTTCTCCTAGCAGTTGGTTAATAGATGGACAGTACTGGGAAGAAACACACCAAAGCCCGTAGTCCTTTCCCAGTTCAAAGGTCTGTAACATGGAATCAAGCCTTTTTAGAACCAACCATTTAGGAAGAAAATTCCATTTAATGAAAAGGTTCCTCTTGACCAGACCTGGAACCACAACATCTTTAATCCTGGAATTTAGGAGGCAGAGACAGGCAGCTCTCTGAGTCTGAAGGTAATCTGGTCTACACTGAGAATTCCAGGACAGCCAGGACTACACAGAGAATGGTTTCCTCTCGCCTCCTCTCACCTGATATCCTCAGCTCAGAAGCTCGGTCTCAGCAACTGAGTTCTACAGCGTAGTTAGGTGTCTTTTTCAGAGTTCTCACCAACTTGCTCATCCTGTGGGGGGAAAATGATCTGAGGGTGACTCAGGGGGAAAAAGGACATGACCTTGGCAGGCGACAGCAGTTAAACTTGTCCATGTATGAGGAAAGTGAGGACCGCATGCGTGAGGGTGGAGACGTGATGGGGGAAAGTTCCAAGGTATTCTGTCCTGGAGCCTCAGAGCTCTGGACACGGCACGTCCTGGAAGTACAGATGACCCCTACTCCTGGTTCCTGAGCTGCACTCCCCATCTGTCCCTCAGTGTCCCAGCATCTGAAGGCAGAAGGAGCTCCTGCCAAGACCGTCACCAAATCCCTGAATACCATCAGTGCAGAAGGGCAAACTGGAAACACGTACCTGCCTCAGCCAGAGCCATCTCTAACCAGAGCCAGGCTACGCCTGCTTCACCCTGACTCAGCTACTCAGGTTCAGAATCCTTTGTGGAATTTGCACTGACATTATCTATCAAGAACAAAAGAGCAGGGAAGGGAAGGATCCGCCAAGGGGAAATGCAGCAGAGACTTGGCTGGACTGTGAGGGGAAAAAAAGACTAGGACTGAGAACCAGCTATGACCTTGGCCCTGGGCTACTTGGCTCCCCAGCTGGTTCTTGGATGTGAAAGTCCTGTGTTGAAGAATGTCATCTCCCCCAGTATAAGAGCTCCACCTTCCTCTGAACAGCTGTGACTGCTTGGAAGGGACCTTTCTTCACGGGAGGAGATGATAGGGAGGGTTACTGGACCCTCACCCGAGAGGCTGGTTACTCCTCCCTCCAGACCTCCAAGTCAGTTTCTGCTGTCTGCCCTAATGGCGGCATGGGACATCATGATCTGGAGGGGTGCTACCTGAAAACTAACCGAGAAAGGCAAACTGAAGCTATGTTCCACCTCTGCAGCTACGGAGAAGCCGCTATCTGTGCTGAGGAGACAGCTGCTTCGGAGTTCCCTGCTCCTGAAAGCAACCCCTCAACCATGTTCTGCAAATAAGCGAATAAACTCATTGGCCCCACCCTGGACCTCCATTTGCGTGGATGGATACTTTCACTGGACCATTGCTCGGGTGGATCAGTACTCTGGGTTTGTCCTTAGTGATGTATAAAGTAGATGCATTGTCTCCATCTCCCAGGGGAAGAGTTCTGAAAACACCCTGCAGAGTGGAAAATGTACTGTCAATACCCAGTTGGCTCGGCCAGTTTTAGAGAACTGAACAAACAAACTTATAAGATCAAAATTTTAAAAAATCCCAGAATTCATTTTTTCTCTCAAAATTTTCCATTGAATAACTGAAAGTGATAATAGTAATAATAAAAATAATAATAATTTTAAAAAATTGAATGGATCCATGTTCTGAAGATCATGGAAGTCATGACATCTCCCTTCAACGGATGTGCCCTTTGGAAGGTGGCTGCTTTTCTTCCACTTTTCAAGACACACGCACATGCTCACGCACACACACACATGCACACACGCATGTGCATACACATGCATGCACATACACACATGCACGCACACAGGCCACACATGCGCATGCACAGGCACGCACACTCACACACGCATGTGCACAAACATGCACACACGCACACACACGCAGGCACACACGTGTGCACACACACTCCCTCAAGCACTCAGTGTAGTTCGGAGTCACTGCTTTCCAACAGCGCTGGTGGCAGCTGTTGATGAATAAACAGAAAAGCCTCATTTGTAATTTGGTGGCTTGCAATCCCGAATACATTTTCCAAAGGAAATGACATCATAAGAGGCTTTGGGTTTCCTGGGGCTGCCCACAAAGCCTAATCAACCTAGCACACCACTGAAAGGCTGTATTTTTCAGAAGGAAATGAAAGGAGAAAGAAGTACCGCTAACTATAATGTTCATGAAATAACCAAACGAGAAACCTGAACAAGAAATGCTCACCTGGGGCAGACCTTAGCTACCCCGCCAGGCTCTGCTCAGAAGAGGAGCCCGGCTCTTTTCACCGAGTGATCACGGCTAGAAATTAGTGGCTTCCTTTCCTCACAGCCTGTCAGGACTCCCTGACAGCTGCTCAGCTCAGCCAGGCATACGCTGCTTTCATCTTTCATCAACAGTCTCTCTGAAGTCAGTGACATCTCCACGGCAACCAGCTCAAGTTTTTCCACTGATGTTCAGATAGAAAGGGAGAAGAAATTGATGGGTTTTGTTAAGGGGGCTGAACCCTGAGATGTCAGGGGAATGGAGATTAGAGGTTCAAGGCATTGTCCTCCATTTCTTGATGGGCCGGGCTATTCCCAGGGAGCACAAGGAAACAGCATTTCTACCTCTTACTGCTCACGAAGGAAGAGAAATTCGGTGGATGATGTAGGAAAGGCGAGAAGGAGCTGGGTTAGGGAGCACTGAACACAGCAAGGCCCGTGCTGCCAAGCAGCTACATGCAATTGGATCCCACTTAATTCTCAGTTACTCTGAGTGCTGGCCTGGTGCCTCGGACTGCGGAGGTTACTTACAGTGGGGGAACGCAGACTGAAGAGAGGTGGCACAAATATCACAGCCAGGGCAAGGGGAGGGCAAAGCGGATCCAGAGAAAGTACAGTGCTGTCCCCAGAGCCGGGACGGTGCTGTCACCAAACCCTGCAGCAGGTGGCTTCACCCTGGCTCTCGGGCTCAACCATCGCTAGTCTTTGAGCTCAGCTGCTTAGACTTAATCAACAGTCTGTTGGTAGTTCATGGATGTGGCCATCACCCGGCCTCTCACACCTGGAGACTCACAGAACTCCCCTCTTCCTGGAGCCTCTCTGGTGAGTCAACTTGGCCACATGATTGGGATCTGGTCCACTTCCCGATTCCAGACTGGGGCCCTGCTCTTGGCAGGGCATCTGTGTTTGGGCACTCAAGTCCCAGTTTCATTACCTCAGGGGCATTCATGCTCTCCAGAAACTGGTCACTTAGAACCATCCTCCCAGCACATCTGATTTAGCTTCAGTTAGCGGCCACTGGCATACTGTTCCCCTGCCACAGTGGAGATGGGGCCCTCTAGGTTCCTGATTGCCTGTTGTCTATGCTTGGGGGGGGGCCTCTGAAGATAGGATCTTGAACTACTAACACCCCTTCATGTGATTATCTCCAAAGGCCTCTTAGATTTGGGTAAAAAGTTCATCTTCAGTCAGGTAGTGGTGGGGCACATCTTTAATCCCAGCACTTGGGAGGCAGAGGCAGGCAGATCTCTGTGAGTTCGAGGCCAGTCTGGTCTATGAGAGCTAGTTCCGGGATAGGCTCCAAGGCTACAGAGAAACCCTGTCTCGAAAAAACAAACAAACAAACAAACAACAAGTTCGTTTTCATTTCCCCAGACATGTTTCCAAAACACTTAAACCCAAATCGATCTTACTCCCAAGCCCAAGTGGCACACGGGCATCTGAAGTGGGTTTTTAACAGCATCCAAGAGTTGGAGAAGAAGCACATGGTTAAAATCAGCGCTTTTGATCCGAGTCATGGGGGCCTAACATCATTTCCTTCCTTAGACCTCAATACAATTATCCCGACAGCTCATCCCCACTTGGCCGGCAATGGTACAGGTCATACTGGGCGGACAAATGAATCCTTTCTGGGCCACCTGGACCACTGGGCGGTGTGAATACCAGGTCCTCCTGGAGCTGGTTGTGTAAATACAACCAATACCCTCCCAGGGTTCTTAAAGTGAAGAAGATTTAAACTCAAATTTACCAAACATAGTCACTCATTTGCAAAATACATGGGGCAGGAGGACACGGGGACCAGACACGGCAGGCCCTTGGGGCCGTGTGGAGGACCTGGGGCTTTAGGAGAGATGATGCAGGGCTGTTAAACAGGTTTAGGCTGAGGAGTGTTATAACCAGACTGGGCTTCTAGAAATCCACTCTGCTGTTGAAGGCACAGGGGAGGGAGCGAGGGCTCAGAGACCAAAAGGGCCAAGAGGCTGCTTTGACTCAGTTGTTCCAGGAGGGACACTATGGTTTGATTGCATTTAAATATATTGGAAACTTAATTTTCGATTCAAGTTTCAGGAGTAAGCCCTCTATAAAGGGTGATTAGCCTAGCCATGGCGGTGCATACTGAAGAGACAGAGGCAGTAGGACTATGCATTGGAGGTCAGCTTGGGCCATGTATTTGTAATCAATGAGATGGCTTGGTGGACAAATGTGCCTGTCACCAATCCTGAAAACCCAAACTTCATCCCTGGGACTCCATGGTGGAGGGAGAGAACCAACTCCTGAAGGCTGCCCGATGGTCTTGGCATGTGAACGTCGGCACTCTTGTGTGAGCATGCACACGTATTATAAAAGTTATTTTGTTTTGTTTTATGGTGATTAGGTCCTGAGGATTCTGCCTCTGTGAACTAGTAAATGCTACCATAGAAATGGGTTAGTTGTCTGGAAAATGGGCTTATAAAAGTGAGTTCAACCCTCTTGTATTCCTTCCTTTATTATTTTACCTTTTACTTATTTTTGAGATGGGGTTGCTCTACTTAGCCCTGGCTGTCCTAGAACTCATTATGTAGATCAGGCTGGCCTAGAACTCACAGAGATCTGCCTGCCTCTGCCTCCCAAATGCTGGAATTAAAGGCGTGAGCCGCCACACCTAGCCCTTCTTGCACTTATGCTACGGCTCTTTTACCCTCCTGCCTTCTGCCATACTGACACAGTATGAAGCCCCTCGCTGATGTTGACAAAACTTCCTTGGGATTTCCCAGCCTCCCGAACCATCAGTTAAATAAATGTCTACTGTCTGTGAAGTGCCCTGTCTGGGACATTCTGTTGCAACAACACAGAGAAAGACAAGGGACAAGAGGACTCACAGGCTGCAGGTGTGGAGTGCCCAAGGTCCCTGCTTCTGGGTCTCCCCCACCCACATCATCTGCTTTTATTTTACTTCCTGCTGGCCTTTTCCCTTTCTAGGGGCTCCTCCGCGCACCATGTTTCTTGATTGCCCATCTTCACAGCACCTACACTGCGCCCTTAGGTCTTCTCCTGATTTCTGCTCTAGTTTGCAACAAGAGTGGGGTGCCTCCTCTTTCACCCCCAAGACACTCCAACTACCAATACTAAGAGAAAGCCTGGCCCCAGAAGAGGAAGTCTTCTTCCTGTCTGTCAGAAACAAGTGGGCCAGTACTCCCTTCACGGAAATGGAACATCAAAAGTTTTTGGCTCTACCTGGGGCTCAACAGCACTGCCTACTAGGAGTTCCTTACTGGTTCAGTTTATAATACTCTGGAAGCTTTTCTTGACCCCTCCTTTAACCTAACATGCCTCCTCTCCTGGTGCGTGAAAGCCCACCCATTAAGCTAGTCATTTCTTTGTGTTAATCATTGCTTTTGCCTAATGATCCCCCTTTGAACATCAAAATATCCCTGGGAGGGAAAGCTCTTTGGCTTCCTAAACAAAGGACAGAGGGAAGCACAGAGAGCTTTCAAACTCTCCGGATGAGATCGGGGCATAAATTAATTCTGACAGGCTGCAGAGTTAACCAGATAAGAGAAAAGAGGAATGCGCTTATCAGTGTAATTATTTTCTTATTTTATCTTCTCTCTTCTTCACAGTCCTGGAGCATACAGGAGCCAGTAGGCAAAAGTTTAAAGATGCATCTTAATGACTTTTTTTCTTTTTTCCTTTACATTTTAAAAAAAGTTTTATTTATTCTATGTGAATGGGTGTTTTGTCTGCATGTATATCAGCATGAACCTGGGACCCCCAGAGGCCAGAAGGGAGCATCAGATCCCCTGGGACTGGAGTTACAGATGGTTGTTAGTGGCCATTTAGGTGCTGGGAACCCGAATCCTCTGGAAGAACAGCCATGGTGTCTAAACTGACGAACCATTTCTGCGGTTCCTAATGACTTTTCTGTGGATACACAACCCTGAAACTCCTGTAACCACGTAGAGCCAATACTAGAGTCCTCCTGGGAGTGCTGACTCCTGTTGCCATGGTTGAGTTTTGTCTGATCTCCAGTCTCATATAAATGGTCCTGTATGGGGTCCTAGTTTCATGAAACTCTTCAGGGATTCACACATACTCTGGTATATACCAGTGACATGTCCATTTCAGACATGGTAGAGAATTATATGGATGGATTACAATTTCTTTGTCATTTTTCCTCTAGTAGACATTTGGACCATTTTTAGTTCTGGAATATTT